ATAACGTGCTTATCTGCTTTTTCGGAGCTCTGGCAACCCATTCAAATGAATTGGCTTCCTTAATGCAAGCCATATTAACGCAACGCGACAAACCGCCTAAGGCTGTAGCTCACCACCACTACATATTGTAGATCAACAATCACTGAATGCAGTAGCTGCAACAGTTTCCTGTTTTTACAGGCTTTTATGCCGTTATTTTTGTCATTTGTTGGGCCAATAACACAACTACTGTCTTGAAGTGGCTACTTTCACTCACTCCTGAACCTATCCAATGTTGCCACCCTTGGACATCAGCATTGACAATCACTGGAGAGGGTGGTGTTGGGTGGACTAGTAGATTTAAATGGATTTGACTAAATCTAAAGCCCAATTCCAGCTAACACTTTTTAAGCAGTTACAGAAACATATTTTTTTCCTTTTGCGATAAAGGTTTTAAAAGGACATAAATGAATAAAAGCTGGCCATTGTAAGCACCACTGTCAGTGCCAGCGTCTTAACCTTCTAACTACCACTCTTGCTTGGCAGCTTGGTCTGTTAAAAGAAGCAGGAAAATACCAGACATCACCAGGTAAAAAAAAACTGTCACCAAGAGGACACCCCATAGTTACACCTATATGGCTCATTCACACAAGCTTTGGTCTCTGAAGAATGATCCACACTCAGATCACTCTTCAGAGAGCATTTGATATGTGGTAAGGAGGCATTCTTTCCCTTTGATCTCTGCACTATAATGGTTCCGAGGCACTTGCAGAGCAGCTCCACTGACTTGAAAATGACAGGGGTTATAATTCCTGTGTACACCTCCAACTAATATGGAGTGATTAGGGGCAGTAAAAAGGTCCAACCATGGGGATTTACCCTCAATTGCTAGTGTGAACAAGCCCTAACGCAGCGTGTCAGATAGAATTTGAAATGTGTCAGTTGCTGATCAGTCAACTGCTTGACCCAACAATCTCCTATCTCGGGCAGTTGATAGGGGCAACTGTCAATCTCCAGATGACCCCTTACACTTCCTTCCCAGCTCTAGGCCAACAAGACAGTGTGCATCACAGTCTCCACCTGAAAGACCCCACCCCTCTAACGCACCTTACCCAATTGGGCATAATCTCTATCAATAAGTCCAATTGGGTGAAACGCATCAGTCAGAGACTTGGATCTACACTATCTTGTTGGAACAAAGCTTTGAAGGGAGTGACATCGCTGGTGATTGGCATCTGTTTAAATGATGGTGCTTGCGAGGTGTGGTAAAAGGCTCCATCAAGAAGCTTGCAGTAAGGGATAGAGTTTTGGCAGCAGCATGACTCTTAAGGACTTCTACTAGTAGGTAAAAGCTGCTAGAAATATTTTTTTTTGGTTGTATGCATCTTCTGCAAAAAAAAAAAAAAAAAAAAAAATCAATCCCTTTTTTGTAGAGATATTTAAGTACACTGCACGTTCAGTACAGTATTTGCTCTGCCTGCATGAGCACAATTACACCCCAAACTCTCTAAACCCATGGTATTCCAGCCACTCAACTGTGGAAAGAAGAATACACATCAAAAGGGATCTCTAATGCCTCCCTTGTTCTCTGTCCCAGTCATGTGTCGATGATATACTGAGCTGAAAGGCATAATGCAACAAAATGTTTACAATGGGATGGGCCTGAGATCACAGCTCTCAAACAACGATGAAAGAAAAGGCAATGGTAAGATGTTACATTTGTAAAAAGGTACTTGATGTCCCTGCATAGGTCATTATATAAAAAAAAAAAAAAAAAAAAACACATTCACTAAAATTTCATATAGGTGTTACAATGTTAAAGCTATTTAAATTTTTCAATATTTTTAAAGCTGACCTCCGAGCACAAAAACTCAGGTTCTCCCAATAGACAAAGAATATAAAACTACTTTGGAAACTCAATTAAAAACTTAGATAATAATAAAGTAGTAGTGACATCATCACTGTGCTGTATATGGCCTGTGCAGACAGCAGAGCTGTGGGGGTGGGGCCTGTCAGGCTGACCCACTACAGACTGCCTGCATAAAACTACAGAGGAGGTGGAGTTAAGACCAGTCACCCTGCACAAGAAGAGACAGCAGCAGTGACAGGTCTTTATTACTGGAAGCTCCTGCACAGAAGCAAAGTTTCATATGGGATTACTGCACCGATCTAGAAGAAACACATAAAACATACCAAGATTCAATAATACATAAGCCACTTGTATTCTTCGTGTAATCTTTATAAGCCTCTAGTATTTTGACAATGTTTGCTTGTCCTAGAGTTAAGCTTAAATGTAAAACTTGCACTCATAGACTACCTAGTGATCCTGCCATAAAATAACTTTTTCTGTTGCTACCTGTTACAGGGTAACAGCTTTCTGTCCCTGTCTCCTAACTGTACTCCTATATTGTGTTCCTGTCAAACAGGCTTACATTGGAGACTACAAGTGGCCTATTACACACATGGGCATGGCCCACTGTTGTCACCATCAGGAAACCTGCTCTGAAAAATAGCATGAAACCATCGCTGGAGCACATGTATGTAGACAAAGTGGCTACAAAGAGTCCACAGAAAATTAGCAGCGTTGCACAGCAAATGAAACGGAAAAAAAAACAAAAAAGAAAAACAAAGGAAAGATGTTCTAATACTTTAAGTTTTTTTACCTTAAAGTGTTACTAAACCCACAACAGTAAAATCAGCCTGTACATGCAGTAAAGTATGCTTGTTATACTCACTGTGGAACCTAAGGGGTTAATCCTCTGCATTGTATAAAAAGGCTGTTTGATCCTTTCTTCTCTGATCCTCCCCTTGTTTAAGCAACCACCTCTTACCTCCTGATAAAACAGACTGAACAGTAGGCATTTTGCACATGCTCTGTTTGATGTGTATTGCTAGAGTTTTTTTACTTTTCTGGGGAGAGTACATATGATCAGCACAGGGCAAATCAGCACTGCTCAGACAGCGGTCAGGGGTTTTGCATCCTCCTAGAGCAGAAAGAAAATTCCTCCTACAAGCTTTAGCTAGTGCTTGGCTGAACACTGATAGAAGCCACAAGACTGCTCTAACGGCTGATGAGAAAAGGTATTTAAAAGTTTATATTTACTAAAATATTTGCATTTCCATCATTTTTTGTACTGTGGGAGACCAGATATAGTGAATGCAAAGTCCTGAGTTTAGTAACACTTTAATGCATTCTCTGCATTAATGTAAAAAATCTTTTGTAATGAGGATCCACTCCAGCCCCCCTTATACTTACCTGAGCCCAATCTCGATACAGCAATGTGTACGAGAGCAGAGGCTCTCCATGCTCTCCCTCCTCACAAGGCAAACTAGTAGCAGCGGGAGCAAACTGGTTCCTGCTGCTGTCAATCAAATACTATGAAGAGGGAGTGGGGCAAAGCACTGTTGTTTGTGTCTATTGATGCCGACAGCGGGGATCCCACATGAATACCTCCTTAGCAAGCAGCTTGCTGGGGGGAAGGGGGTAATCGTGGGGGAAGGAGCCAGGAGCACCAGTGGGGGACCCGAGAAGAGGAAGATTGGGTTTGCTCTGTAAAAAACCACTGCACAGAACAGATAAGTATAACATATTTGTTATTTAAAAAAAAATGTAAAGATTTAATATCACTTCAAAGCTGAACTGAACCCTCCTCTCCTTTACATCCAAGGAAGCGGTCATCTGAGCTTCTGTTTGACCTGCAGTTGCCATGGTGTTGCACATGTGATCAGTTCTGACACCAGCCGTTTGATGGCTTGACAGTTCCGTTGAGAGAACAAGCACAACAGTTATCAGCCACGGCATGCCTTGAAAGTAACTGTTTTGATAAATCATTAAATCAGTGGGTTTAGTTCCACTCTACCCTGTTGCCACCTGCATATGTGCGGTGGCAAAAGGGTGGGCTTTAAGGGCTTGTTCACATCATGGTGCAGAGACGTCAGTTTTTCTGCATGCGGTCTGCAAGGGCACAACAAAATCAATTGTTCTCTATGTGCCCTGTTCACACCACAACACTAGTATCGTATGCAGATTTTTTTCTGCACAGGAATCTGCAACGCATATAAAACTCATTGCAGCGTGCATGAAAACTGTGCAGCACAGTGGCTAAATGGTTAACACTTCCGCCTGGCAGTGCTAGGTCGTTAATTTGAATCCCAACCACGGCACCACCTGCCTGGAGTTTGCATATTCTCCCTGTGTCTGGGTGGGTTTCCTCCAGGTACTCCGGTTTCCTCCCACACTCCAAAGACATGCTGGTAGGTTAATTGGATCCTGTCTAAATTGTCTCTAGTATGTGTATGTATGGATGTGAGTTAGGGACCTTAGATTGTACGCCCCTTGAGGGTTAGGGACTGATGTGAATGTATATGTAAAGCGCTGCATAAATTGACAGCGATATACAAGTACCTGTATTAATAATAATGTCTCTACAAATGAAATCTGCGCATCAGTTTTCCTGCACGTATGGTGTGAACAAGGCCTAACACCTGCACACTGCACATATTCGTTACTGGGTGGCCGATGCTTCTGTTGTAAGAGTACTCACCGAGTGATCCCAGCACAGAGACTGAGCTGTCAAAAACATCTCTTGGACCGAATGCTTGGTTGCCCGCTGGACTGGCTCTACGTTTACCACCTCATCCCTTTAAACCTGAACACGTTAATTACACAGGTTCTGTGGCTGATCAAGGTGGCAATTAAACTCACTTGGTGCCTTATCTGCATTAAGGCCATGTTATTAATATGTGTTCAGTTTTAAAGGGATGAGGTGGCAACCCTAACTGGCTCCCCGTCATGTGACCACTCACCGTAGTCGCACGACTGCTGATCCTTCCCAATCACAAAGTGTTGGGAACTTTTTAAAAGGGACACTGGGTGTGAGGGAAGGGGTTAAAAAGAGCAACTATTCATGATACACATCGTTTTGGCAAACGAATGCGATTCGGTTAGCGTTCACATCTGCTTTTCCAGGCTGATCTGTTGGGAAAGTCATAAAAGCAACTCTCTTTCGGTAAACACTCACTTCTTTACATTTGCCTCTCCATTAGGGATCCTACGCAGTTTTTTCTTCTTCAGAATTTTCACAGCACGGCGACACAGTGTATCAGAGTCCAGCATCTCTTTTACCTTGCCGTAGGATCCCTCTCCCAGCAGGTCACCCATAAGGTACTTCCCCACCAACTTTGCACGTTTCCGTCGCGGTTGGTAGATCACCTCGGTGGAGTCAATGCGGTGAATAAACGTGTCCATCCCCACAGACAAGTCTTCCAAAAACTCCATTTCTTTACACTCGCCCTCATCCATAATGGGTTGGCACAAGCCTGATCTCTTCAGTAGTGTCACAGCAAGGATGTCCCACCCTGAGAAAACAGCTCAGGGATCCCCTCAGCCCAGGCTTGGTATGTCCCAAAACACTCACAAGACACCCCAAGTCAGAGGACAAGCATCTTCAGTCCACTGGACACGGTTTCCCAAGAGATTCAGCTTGTGATGTCACTGCAGCCAGGAGCCTAAATGAAACAGTAGACGAACCTGTCACTTCTTCCCAGCGATGACAGTGTCACCCGCCCCCTAGTCCAACCGCATAGTGGCCCACTGTCCCGGAAGCGCAGCATTTCCCGGGACGCAAGCAATTTTTAACGAACAAACCCGCAAATATGTTATCCCGGCTATGTCCCGGTTTCTAAACTGTCATGGGCCACCGCGCAGGCGCAGCACACGATGTAAATAGAGCATGTGCAGGCTCAGCTATTCGCGCACGCGCGCAGGGCGAGTTGTAACAAGCCGCAACGCATTCTGCTGTCCGCGATGTGCCCGATCGGAAATATTGGAATGTTTCCTAATACGTTAAGCGCGGTCGTTAAAATTTGTCAACGGCCTGAATGCTTTGGGGTTTTATCGAGGATGTCTCTGCGGCTGGAAGAGATGTGAGAAATCAGGAAAGCGGACAGCCCAGCAGGGGTCCTTCTGTTAGAGCTGGGGGCGGGGCTCTAGATAGTGGCTCCCGGGCTCGGAGTGGTATGCAGCAGGGGGTGGTGGAAGCTGATGGAGAGGGGATGATGCTGGAGATTAGAGGAGTAAACTGGAGCAGGCAGTATCTGAAGCAGCTGTGCGTGGTAGCAGGTTGGCTTCAAAGCTTCGCTGAACAAGTTGAAGCTAGACGCTGATTGGTCATCATGCACAGCTGTTCCAGAGTTTGTTTACTCCAGTTTACAATTGCAGCATTTTGCAGAAACTCACTACAGTCCATTTAACATGGCTTCCTATGGGACACGTTCATGTCTATGCATTTCTAGCTGCTGTGTTTTCGGATAGGGTCAGGGATTTTTTTCTTGCTTCAGATTGTAACACGCAGCCGAGTGAACCAGGCCTTAGCGGAAGGTCCACTCATTTGCATGGGAGGGAAGACGTGTACTTGGCTTTGACAGATACCCGCTCCCACTTTCAGGTGAGACTGTCAGTGATCCGTGAGGAAGTTTGGCTGCTCTTCCCCCGACAGCCTTCTGGGACCAACACAGTTCCCAGAAGACTGCGGGGACCATTCACAAAGTGCAGCATGGCTCACGCATGCGCAGTAGGAAACGAGTTCCACCTAAAAAAATAAAAGTCAGCAGCTACAAAAACTGTAGCTGCTGACTTTTAAAATACAGACACTTACCTGCTCCTCGGTCCAGCGGTGTCCTCACCACCACTGCTTTCACCGGCCGTCTTCTCTCACTGGCGCCGGCATCTTCAGTGTGGGCACCTGGCTGTGACAGCTTGCGGCTTCACAGTCGGGTGCAAACTGCGCATGTGCGAGAAGTGCTGCGCTTTGTGAATGGTCCCATAGTGTTCTGGGAACTGTCGCATGTCCCAGAAGACTACGGCGGGGGAGGACAACTTCCGATCGCCTAGGCAATTGCAGTGGGAGTGGGTACCTGTTAAATTTGGGTACCCGCTCCCAAAAGTGCCAATCCTTAATGGGGAGCCGGGGACAAAGGCTTAAAGCAGAACTTCCCCTTTTGGGTGGAGCTCCGCTTTAAGTGTCCCTGTATTAAAATTCAACAGCTACAGTATTTGTAGGTGCTCGCTTAATTTTTTTGGGGGAGACAGGAGCTTCTCTTTAAAGTGTTACTAAACCAACAACAGTAAAATAAGTCTGTATATGCAGTAAAGCAGGGATGGGCAAACCGTCGATCTTGGTCTACCTGTTGACCGCGGGCAGGTGACAGGTAGACCGCGAACAGGTACGTGCACTGCCAATCCCTGCCTTTTAGTTGTCTGTCCTTCTCCCCTCTTTCCCCCAGCCTCCTCCGCTGCTGCTGACATTCTCAGTCCACAGTGGAAAGTTGAAGACAGCAGAGCTCAGGACGGAGGGTGGGAGGAGGAGCTGGCCAAATTAACCTTTCATATTAACCTGTAGGTGATTGGTTGCTAGAAGGGTGGAGGCCAGATTTCACTGATATGTGGGAAAGGGGGGTGATGTGCAGAGGAAACTGGTATGGGTAGGGCCACCCCCCATAGTGTCCTCTACTGCCCTTCATATCACCCCCCCTCCCACAGTAGTGTCCTCTGCTCCCTCATTTTCCCACAGCAGTGACCTCTGGCCCCCTCCCCCCCAGCAATGTTCTCTACCCCCTATTCCCCCATAGCAGTGACCTCTAGCCACCCTTCCCCCACCCACCAACAGTGTCCTCTACCCCCCCGCTTTCCCTCCCATGGAAAGGTATTTTAAAAATCTGAACTCCCAGCAAGTGGCTGGGGATTGGGACTTTTTTGCCCCCCCTCCGCGCCTTAGGGCACCAGGAGGGCAGAAAAATCCAAATTCCCAGCCACTTGCTGGGAGTTAAAATACCTGCCTTTTGACTATCCCCCCCTTTTTTTTTTTTTTTTTTAAATCAAGTAGTTTTATTGAGATATTTTTGCAAGTCATACAACGTATCAACATACAAGAAACATAGCTATGACATGTAACAACAATATGTCAGCACCGGCAAACGCCCAGCCGATCGTCATATGAACAGTTCAAACAAAAGAAGAAAGAAAAGCAAAAACAATAGCTAAGGTTATAGGCCATATAAACAAAAAAAACAAAAGAAATGTTTTTGTCATATACAGAGATCGTGCAAAATTGCAGTACACACATATAAGATACTCAGAATCAGTATGGTCAGGATCACCAGTAAAACCCGAGTCCTAGCACATCATATCCTAAGGATCCCTCAACAGCAGGTACATTGCCCCCTCCACAGCAGAAATCTAACCTCCATCCATTCCCATGGATAGTGATGAAAATGTTGAATCACTAGACTCCAGCCACAGCAACCATATTTTCCTAAATTTTTAGGGCAGTTTCTATGCTTATAAGTCAACTCCTCCCTTCTCAACGTAGCATTTATAACGTTACCCCACTGACTATAAGTTGGTGGCAAATGGGGGAAATCTATTTTTGAAGGATAAGTTTACGGGCTATATACAGAGATCTAATCCATAACAAGTGCATCTCTACAGGAAGGATATCCTCAGAAATAATACCCAATAACGCAAGTTGCACTCCCATGGAACAGATTGAGTTAAGAGTATAAAATATAGAGGACCAGTACCGGTGAAGCTTAGGACAACGCCATAGCATATGAATAAGTGTGCCAGTATCTAATTAACATCTAGAACACAACGGAGAGTCTAATCTTCCCCAGGAGTAAAGCTTTTGTGGGGTGTAATGTACTCTATGAATTATAAACAGGCGTTGTGATGGAGATAAAGAAACCTGCGAGAGAGACTTCAGAGCCTGAGCCCAATTCCTCTTCCTCTATTATTTCCAAATCTTGCCGCCACTGTCCTAAACTCTGCACCTCAGAGCGAGCCGAAATGGACGACTGCAAAGTGGAGTATAAATCTCCTATAAGACCTCTTTTAGGGCAAGATATGGACACCGCCATAGTCAATGATATTGGAGGGTTATATTTAAATATGACCATAGCAGCCTGGCAATGCAATGGATGGTGTAACTGGAGATATTGAAAAAAGACTTTATGAGGCATATGAAAGCACTTCACCAACTCACTAAAGGGTAAGAGCACATTCCGATTATACAATTGGTGGAGAAATCGAAGGCCAGACCTTTTCCAAATATCAAAACCCTCAAGCTTCAACACTTCCGACAACTGGGGGTTATTCCAAATAGGCATATATTGAATGTACCCCTCATGCATGGTTAAAGTGCGGACATAGTCCCATACCTTATGAATTAAATTAAAAGTAGGAAAAGAACGATTTTGATGAAAACAATGAGAAACTAACAAATTAGCTCTACCAATGACCGTTAAAGACAATTTACACCACGTTCCGCCCATCTGTTTTAACCTATGTAGTTATGTTCCACATAATCAGATACCTGAGGGGTGACCAAACCTCCCAAATATTTCAAGGAGGACACCACCGATATCTGCTGTGGTGGCAGATCCGACTGAAGGGGATCCAACGACAAAAGAACTGACTTGTCCCAATTAATTGTAAACCCTGAGAAAGAACCTTATGTATTTATAAGGGACATTACTGCAATTAATGCAGAGGAGGTATCCTCCAAAAACAATAGTGTCATCAGCATATAATGCTATTTTGTCCTGTCCTGTAGACCGTTTAAATCCTATGATATTAGAGGACTGATGGATTGCTGCCGCTAAGGGTTCTAAGGCCATCGCAAAAAGGAGGGGTGATAAGGGGCATCCCTGTCTCATACCTCTGTATAATGAAAAGGAGTCTGAAACATGCATTAATTTGTACTCTAACCGTTGTTACTTGTTGGGATTTGCAAGTTCAAAAACAATCGTCTAATAATAATAGACGTTGCCCTGGTTGGGATACAACCAGACTGGTCTGGATTAACTATCGTGAGATAACATTCGATAAACGGACGGCCAACATTTTAGCCAGAAGCTTAATGTCCGAATTAAGCAATGATATCGGGCGATAAGAATCCGGAATGCCGAGGTCCTTGCCTGGTTTGGATATTACTACAATGACAGCCTCATTCATAGAGGCAAGGTCCCAACTTCAACAGCATTATTAACTACCTCCAAAAGTTCTGATAAAAGGAAATCTCCATAGGTTTTATATACCTCACTAGGAAGGCCATCAAGCCCCGGGACCCTATTATTAGACATACCAGCAGTTGAAATTTGCAAGTCTTCCAAAGTCAATGGCATTTTCAGTGCTTCTCTCTCTGAGTCGGACAAAGACAGTAATTGAATAGAAGTTAGAAAGGACAATAAGTCTTCCTCACAGTAGGATACCTTAGTACTATAGAGGGACCTAAAAAATTTACA